AGTCATTTAAGGACATTTAAGGACGTTTCTGCCCGAAACGCTTTGCGTAATAGTGGCTTTAGGCATTGTATGTACTAGCTCTTATCTATAAAGCCAACAAACTTTGTAAAATCTCTTTATGTATGTACCTTTGCCTAAATAAAAATTATTATTATTATTATTATTTATTTGTATATATTTTATAAATTCAAATACTAGAAGGTGCTGTGGATTAAGGGGCTGCATGTGGGTGTGAAGTATATATACGTTCTTACAAAGCCACAAGCACACCTCTGTTCACTTAATTCCAATTCTATGAGTTAGGCAACTGTTGAGGGTTGCATTCTGGGGAAGATCAGTAGCTGGCTTAGGCCTTACAGCGGACCTGGGCCAGATTCACGAAAGCACTTACGCAAGCACTTACGAACCTGTACATCTTTTCTCAATCTTTGGCGGCTTTCTTTCCAATTATTAAACAGTTAACGAGCTCCGAATCACCAGGAGGCTGTTTATAACAATATCAACAGTTGATTGGGAAGTTTTCATGCTTGTAAACTGTTTAATAAATGTAACCAAAGCCGTCAAAGATTGAGAAAAGATGTATACGTTCGTAAGTGCTTGCGTAAGTGCTTTCGTGAATCTGGCCCCTGGAAATTAAAAAAAAAAAAAAGCAAGTCCACTACGGGCTCACCATAACCCGTGCTACTTGAAACTCTAGTTCCGAGTACCTGAATCTAAAACAACAACGTGGGAATTAAACACATAGAAGTTCCCATCCTTAATGTTTGTAATACACATTTCGCTCCGGTCTTGTGTGAAGGAGGGGGGGGGGGAGGTTGAAATCAACGTAGCTGTCTTTACGCTAAGCTGGTTAAGGCGGCGGCCGACCCTCAAAACATCGTATTCACCAATTTTTTTTACAAATTATGTAATAAAATAGGTTTATTCTCATATGGAAATTATTATTATTATATATTAAAGTTCTATGTATAGGCGTAGGTTAGGTTATGTTAAGTGTTTAGGATCTGTTGGCGATTGTGTTCGGAGTACGTGGACGAAGCATTTACAGGGTCGTGGTTCGAACAGCGGTCGTCAGCTCAGTACTGTTGGAGAAATAATGAAGGGAAGGGAACTATCAGGAGAAAGCGCCAAGCCATTACGACAATATAGCACTGGGAAAGGGATCGGGATAAGGTTTTGGGATGGGACGGGGGGGAAGGAATGGTGCCTCAACCACTTGTGGACGGTCGGGGATTGAACGCCGACCTGCATGAAGCGAGACCGTCGCTCTACCGTCCAGCCCAAGTGGTTGAGAAATAATGAACCATCAATAAACCGTAGGTTTAGCGGGTAGATTGACGCGAATGTGATTCTTCCTGGGGGCGGGCGGGTTAAACGAGGAAACTCCCCCTGTCTGTGTGGGGTGTTTATTGATCGAAGTTCCTTCCCTGTCTTTGTGGGGAAGGAACGAGGGTTCGCTCCCGTGCATGTGGGTACGTGAACCTTGAGCATACTAAGTGAGGGGGGCGAACCAGGAGAGGGGAAAACAAAGGAGGGGGGGAGATAGATGAGTCTCCCCCCTGCCTGAGGTATAATGTCTAGCCCCGCTGATAAGTCACGCACCAGGGACATCATCCCTGGCGACCTGACCATCCACCACAGACCCGCCACTCACACGCGCCATCAATGGCCGCCCCTCACGCTCACCAAAAACTTGTAGCTTGCAGGCGCAGCCACTCACAAGTCTCATGTGCTGGCCCTTACATGCCCCATCTGTGTGGCCCTTATATATAATATATACGCCTCCTTCTGTGTTGGCCTACATATATATATATATACGCCTCCTTCTGTGTTGGCCTATGACATATATATATATATTGTTCGAACGTTGTACCAACGTCGTAGTTTCGGTGTGTGTATATGTATATATTAACACGGCCCCATCTGTGTGGCCCATATATATACATATATGTATATTTTCTTAGCATCAGGGCTTAGCTGAAAGAGGATAAGAAAATAGTTAGAGGGATAGAAGCCCTAAATCAGAAGATAGTAAATACAGAATATGCGGTCATATTCAATGAGACATGTTTAAAAGAAAACCTGCTGCCAGTATACACCAATATATGTATCTGTGCATGTGTGTGTGTGTGTATGTAGCCCATGTGTGTGTGTGTGTGTATGTGGCCCGTGTGTGTGTGTGTGTGTGTGCCCGTGTGTGTGTGTGTGTGGCCCGTGTGTGTGTGCCCGTGTGTGTGTGTGTGTGTGTTACCTGTGCCCGTGTGTGTGTGTGTGTACCTGTGCCCGTGTGTGTGTGTGTGTGTGTGTGTGTGGCCCGTGTGTGTGTGTGTGTGTGTATGTGGCCCGTGTGTGTGTGTGTGTGTGTATGTGGCCCGTGTGTGTGGGGCCACGGGTGCTTGCCGGCTCCGAGCGGACTCCCGTAGTCACCCCCACAACTGCGCTAATTATACTCTGAAAGTTTTTTATGGTTGACGTTCAGTAGAACTTGCCCATCTTCATCAAACGTCAGTAAAGTTGCCCATCTTCATCAAACGTCAGTAAAGTTGCCCATCTTCATTAAACTTCAGTAAAGTTGCCCATCTTCATCAAACGTCAGTAAAGTTGCCCATCTTCATTAAACTTCAGTAAAGTTGCCCATCTTCATCAAACGTCAGTAAAGTTGCCCATCTTCATCAAACGTCAGTAAAGTTGCCCATCTTCATTAAACTTCAGTAAAGTTGCCCATCTTCATCAAACGTCAGTAAAGTTGCCCATCTTCATCAAACGTCAGTAAAGTTGCCCATCTTCATCAAACGTCAGTAAAGTTGCCCATCTTCATCAAACGTCAGTAAAGTTGCCCATCTTCATCAAACGTCAGTAAAGTTGCCCATCTTCATTAAACTTCAGTAAAGTTGCCCATCTTCATCAAACGTCAGTAAAGTTGCCCATCTTCATCAAACGTCAGTAAAGTTGCCCATCTTCATCAAACGTCAGTCCACGCACTATCTACAATAGGAAATTTTGTGGTACTTGGCAAGAATGTTGAGTAACATGTAATATATTGAGCATTAGTGGATAAAAAATAAATCCTCGATAAAAGCCAAAACGTGTATGACTACACTATGGCTTCCTGTCCCCAGACGCAATGAATTATTAAATTACAATTTAGGCCTCCGAGAGTCCGAGTAGAGCGTACGAAAATTCAAATTCAAAATTCAAATGCTTATTTAGGTAAAGTACACACATACAAAGGGTAATACAAATATTGATGAATTTATAGATAGAGCTAGTACATACAATACCTAAAAGCCACTATGACGCAAAGCGTTTAGGGCAGTGTGAACTTTAACAATCATTAGTTGAACTTCCACTTTACCTTAGGTAAATCTGAGCAAATAACGTTGATATACCATTGAATCAATGAGAAAATCTCTTGGCGTCATGAGGAGTGTAACCTATGCTCTCTGGGTACTCCCACGCCCACACCTTAAACCACAGCACCGTCATATGCTTAAGTTTACGTTGAATCCCATATAACCTGGGATTCATATAAATCCACAAGGAGCTCACTTGGGATTCAAATAAATCCACAAGGAGCTCACTTGGGATTCAAATAAATCCACAAGGAGTTCACTTGGGATTCAAATAAATCCACAGGGAGCTCACTTGGGATTCAAATAAATCCACAAGGAGTTCACTTGGGATTCAAATAAATCCACAAGTTCACTTGGGATTCAAATAAATCCACAAGGAGTTCACTTCGGATTCAAATAAATCCACAAGGGTTCACTTGGGATTCAAATAAATCCACAAGTTCACTTGGGATTCAAATAAATCCACAAGGAGTTCACTTGGGATTCAAATAAATCCACAAGGAGTTCACTTGGGATTCAAATAAATCCACAAGGAGTTCACTTGGGATTCAAATAAATCCACAAGTAGTTCACTTGGGATTCAAATAAATCCACAAAGAGCTCACTTGGGATTCAAATAAATCCACAAGGGTTCACTTGGGATTCAAATAAATCCACAAGGAGTTCACTTGGGATTCAAATAAATCCACAAGGAGTTCACTTGGGATTCAAATAAATCCACAAGTTCACTTGGGATTCAAATAAATCCACAAGGAGCTCACTTGGGATTCAAATAAATCCACAAGGAGCTCACTTGGTATTTAAATAAATCCACAAGGCGGTCACCTAGTATTCAAATAAATCCACAAGGCGGTCACCTGGGATTTAAATAAATCCACAAGGCGGTCACCTGGGATTCAAATAAATCCACAAAGAGTTCACCTGGTATTCAAATAAATCCACAAGGAGTTCACTTGGGATTCAAATAAATCCACAAGGCGGTCACCTGGGATTCAAATAAATCCACAAGGCGGTCACCTGGGATTTAAATAAATCCACAAGTTCTGAGACATGGAGCTGATGCCAAGTCAAAGTTTTACACATAACCCATGTAAATGTAATATGATTCATACTCCAGGGTGCGGTTTGCCGCATCGAACAGCCTGGTTGACCAAACCACCAATCAGGTGGCCCTCGTTAAGACCGGGCCGCGGAGATGTTGATCCTTGGAATTATCGACAGGTAATGTGGAAAACTGTGGGAGTACCCAGGATGCAGGTTCGAATCCTCCTTGTGGTTCCAACTGATTTTTTCACTGCTACATCACGTTAATTTGATGTCTTTGTGGACTAAATCAATGTCGATGAAAGTATCTCTACATTGATGTTATGTTACTCAAGTACATGTTGCCATGTATATGTTTGCCATAGTACATGGCAAACTATACTTACGAATGTTACACCAATAGTAAATCAACGTTTTTAATGTTGTTTCAGTTTTAAATCAATGTCATTTGCCCAGATTTTCTTCTGAGGTTGCATTATTCAACTGAGGAAAGGATAAGGAATTAAATTGCATAACACAAATATATACAAAAGTGGGTACGCACTGATTATGAACAAATATGTACTGTAAATAATTGTTTGCTTTACCTAAACAATATTGTAGATCAGAACTGAACAGAACTTGATATAAGAAATAAACTGGATAACTTGAACTGAGGACTACATACCAGTAGAAACCTGTAAGTGAAAATTTTCAAATGCAGCTGACATGATAAAATAGTGAGAGATCAGAGAGCAGACTCATGTACAGAAAACAATATACTGTATCAAATACTGTACTGCATGAAATAAACTGGATAATACTTGAACTGAGGACTGCACACTAGTAGAAACCTCTTAAGTGAAAATTTTCAAATGCAGCCGACATGAGAAAATAGTGAGAGAGATCAGAAAACAGGCTCATGTGCAGAAAACAATATACTGTATCAAATATTGTATGAAATAAATTGGATAATATTTGAACTGAGGACTACACACTAGTAGAAACCTGTAAGTGAAAATTTTCAAATGCAGCTGACATGAGAAAATAGTGAGAGATCAGAGAACAGGCTCATGTGCAGAAAATATATCAATACTGCACTGTAGAAGATCAAAGTAAAACTGACCAGTTGAGCCACATTTTGATTGTTGGCACCAGCGGCAGGTAGTATACTGCGAGTATACTGTGCACCCCAATAGTGATATAACCGAGGAGCGAGAGTTGTGGCAATGCCAGCCGACCTCCTCCTCGGGTGGATTAGCAAGTGTGAGCACAAGAAATACAGATTTGCAATGAGGTGCTCTTACCCCTGTGAGGACGCGAGAGCTCTTACCACCACCACCACCATGAAGAGACTAGTTTACTATACTGTTATGGGCCCTTGCAAATGGGTGCAACTCTCCCTGCATTTGATACGTGGCAGGTAAGCTTAATCACAAAGGGTTTTCATGTCTGCCAACTTTCATGGTAGGGAAATATAGTACTGTATTTATAATTGAGTACACAGGGTTTTGTTAACAAAATATAAAAAAAAAGTGGGTGTGTGATGATAAATAGTTCATTCTGGCAAAGCCACTAACACAACTTGAAATTCCTGGTACAACTGGAAGTTAATATCAATTACTGTACCAAAAATAACTGTTGTTAATAATGAACAAGTGTGGGGTTGGTGAACTGTAGATAACCTTCCCTGCCTCACCAGTCTCCTCCTTGCCTGTGCTGCTAGTGTCATTTAATGGTGAAAATGTCTATAAAAATAACATTTCAGAGGCATAAATATATTATGTGATTAGCTCTAGATATTGTAACATACATTTTCAGCATTTAAATCATAGTTTACCTTTATTATTTTCAAGTTTGATTCATTTCTTTATAACCTTCATATCGTTCTCACTTTTAATGCTCAGGAAATTAACACTTCTTTTCTACATATACCAAATAATATAGTACAATGCTTCTGAAACAATTTCAGAAACATTCACAAAATTTCATTCATTTGCAACTCAATATCCTGAGTTTTTTGGTAATTTTCATTTTACTCTCGCTTGTGCATAATTTGATATACTGTACTGTATAATTTATATTGTCATAAGAGGGAAAAACATTTACCTCAAATTTAATTCACACTTGGGTGACCCATTCACCAGTTTTGAAACACACTGCATATTAGTGACTTTATATAAATTACATTGTGCACCTAGAATTACTCCACCTTATTGTGCTTTAAATGTATTTAATTCTTTATATAAATAAGAATTATTAGTATTACTGTAATTAAGAAGCACCGAGTTACTCCCTTTAGCACACCCAAATATTGCTCCCCTGGAACTAAATATCTTATTTACACTCGACTAAAAGGAAGTTTTTATTCACAGATCCTACAATCTGTATGAGAATGAAGATGGGAGCGACATCATCCTGATGGTGGGAGACGAAATTTATAGGGAGAGAATCCCAGCCCACTCTTGGGTCCTGGCAGCGGGCAATCAGGTCTTCAAAGCCATGTTCCAGGGACCGCTGGCTGACAGCCACAAGAAGATTTACAACATCCCAAATGACCCAAAAGGCTTCCAAAACCTACTGAGGTAAGTTTTCACTTGTATTCATTTTTATATTGATAAAAAAACCAGTTGACCAGCAAGTTTGGGTTGAGCTGAAGACCTGTCAACCTCTGGAGCTTACTGACCAACAAGGACATTTTAGTCCAGGACTAAAGTAAATTCTCAGTGTACATATGTCGAGAACTAGAGTACTCAATGTATTGTATACAGTATATCCCTTCCTAATGCCTAGTAAACTATTACAGTACTATATTAGAAAAGTACAACTAGACCCGAGTTGATAAGTTTCTATTCTTAACAATATGTTAAGCATTAGCTACCAAGAGAATATTCACCAAAGCAGGTACCGTAATAGCCTGCAATACAGCAGCTGCAGTACACATCACTCAAGTCAGGTTAAGCACTGAGGGTCTGGTCAGTAACTGGATGGCTGTACTAACAAGCTTGTGTTTTTCTATGGGGACCCTATTAAAACAAACAGGCTCGCTGTTCCCGACAATAGTATTCCACCCAGTATGGGTCGTGTTGGACAATGATCTCAATCCTCAGCTCACAGCTGAGGGCCCCAGGTTCAATCCCTGGGTGGGTAAAAAAGTTAGGTATGTTTCCTTTCACCTGCTGCCTCTGTTCACTTAGCTGGAAATACCTGGTAGATACCTAAGAGTTAGGTAATTGTTATGGGTTCAATCCTGGGAAAGGTCAGTACCTGTACTGTAATTGGCCTGGGGATCCCCCCGATAAGCATATGTACAGGCGTCCTGTCCCCAATACCAGGGAGTTATGCTTATAAAGTATGCTAAAATCTATAAAAATCCCCAAAGTATGTATGCATTCACAAAAATAAGTTTGTAAACACAAAACATACAATAAATAATTATTTGTGAGCAATACAGTACCTATTCAAATTAACCTAGCTTTATCCAGGGTATGTCAAAGAATGCCCGAATACAAGTACCGGTACTGTTTGTTTATACAAATTTAGATAGAAGTACCTGTACCTTGCTATTAGCACAAATTCAAAACTTTTAAGGACCATTCTAATACAGGTATAAAGTTGACAGGCCTTGATGTGACATTATCTATGAATACAATGAGTTCAAATTTCCTACAAATAAACATTTTAATAGCAATATAATACATGGGCTGGCAGCAAATTTACTTAACATGACTATTACCTAGAGTATCCTTGAGAAAAATGTGTTCATAATACTGTCCATCAGAATAATGTGAAAAGAAAGTAATAATTGAATTACAGCAAAAATAGGCCTACCTAATTTTGAAAGGTTACATCATAATCCAAGATGTAATGGCAGCCACAATCAGCTGTGTTTAATTGTGATTTAAAAGATCAAATTACTGTATACAGTATACTTTTTTTACAGTGTACAGAATTAAAATTACAAGTTTTCTTTCAAAAACTATTAGTAATCTTGGAATAACATTACAGAATTTTTACAGGATATCTCTGCCATACAGTGCCCTAGCATTCATCCTCACAAGTTTTCCAATTACTTTTGATTAAAATAGTTCTTTGTGTTCAAAGCTTTCAAGTACGTATTACCCTAAAATGAACCAACTAAACATTAATAATTAGTGGTTTTATATAAACTATAAATACCTATGCAAAAAATATAATCAGATTGTCTATTAATTTATACAAATAAACCATAATTGTAAACTAATCCATACACATGAAAAGAAAGGAAAGTGACGATATCCTCGGCCCTCATCAAGTTATAACGCGACTTGAGGATCCAGGATGAATGAAAACATTGTCACTTTCATATCGTTTCATATGTGTGTGTTACTACTTTCAGCCTCGTTATTGTGATTCATTCTTTCCAAAAGCATTATTATTATTATTTTTACAGATGGCTATATCGTCACGAGTGCGGAATCCAGAGCATAGACAGTGCCCTCATAACCCTCCAGGTGGCCATCCAATACCTCTGTCCAGAACTGGCAGAAATGTGCGTAGAATACATTGTCCATCACCTGAGTGTGAACAATGTCCTTAAAGTGCTGCAAGAGATCTACAGATATTGCCCATCTCAACAAGCTTCCATCAGCAATCAGTCAGATGACACTATTTCAACAGCACCTTCAGCACCTAGCTTGGAAGATCTTGAGGACCTTACTCAGACCTATCCAAACCACTGCAATATGGCAGACTCAAAATCAGATCAGTTAGAAAGGTCTCGGCATACTATCCATAATATGACCCAGCTACAAGACCTGTGTGATGAGGCAGACCTTCGAGATCCCACTGCATGTTGTACGGATCTTTTTAACGCATGTCTTGAAGTCGTTGATCGGAATACACAAGTAGTCCTGAATTCTGAACTTTTGGAAGAGTTGGATCATAGTACACTAGAACTTATTCTGAGACGTACTACACTCAATGTTGAAAATGAGCTGCCATTGTTTGAAGCGTTGCAGCGCTGGTCTACAGCACAATGTAAACGTCACAAGCTTCCCCTCACCCAAGAAAACAGGAGGCATGTGCTAGGAAACCTACTCTTCCATATAAATTTCCTGCAGCTAAATAATGAACAGCTTCAACAGACTAGCAGCCTCCTTACTGCTGATGAGTTCAACTATCTAAGTGGACGAATCCAAGGCCATAGTATGAATATAGTGCCACCTACTTTGGAACCACATTTGTCCAAGATGGCCAGGCCCCGCCGCCACAGTCCAGCAAGATCCATGCAGCAAGTTACAAATGACAAAAGTAAAAAGAAGTGCAACAAGAAAAAGTATACAAGAAAGGAACTCATGCTAGACATTGTTTCTTGCCTGGCAGTAATTTTTGATTAGGCAGAAGTGTAGCTTGCATTCTAATGCATACAGCCATTGTGTCATAAAACATTTAGCCCAGGCAAAACCCTCAGCCTTTGTAACATTTGATTTATATCTGCTTTCATTGATTGTTCTCATATGTTATAACTGTGTTGACATTTAGAGAAAACTAAACGACGTGCAATATGCAGTCAATAAATTGTTAATGGCTAAGTAATGCCAATTTATTTCAACATTTGGTACGTTTCTGTTCCCAGTAAATAACATAAATTGTTGCCGTTATTGTAGTCACTGAATTCTATTTGATTTGGCCATAGCTGTTTTTATTGTATAGATGTTAAATAGTTAAATTTTTTTAAATATACAGTACAGATATGTATTGGATAAGACCCATTCAGCAAATGGAGTTTGTGGACTGCAACAGATCAGAACTAAAAAGCACCTTCAGGGAACGTGCATTCAGTGTGTAAAATATGTATAAGTGTATGTATGTATGTATGTGAAGGATGCTAAAACTTGCACATACTTAATTTGTTAAATAATGTCTGTAGAAAGATGTTTGTAAAAACAGTCCCTCTATGTATACACTAAGTTTAATTATACTGTACATTGTACTATGTACAGTGAATAGTCTAGTCAATTTTCTCTCAGCATGACATGGTAAAGAATACATGGGGAATGTATTGTTAAATACGAGTGCAATAACACTCATTTTTCCATACGATACTGAAAACTAGGAGTGCCATATTTTAAATGCAGAATATGTAGCTTGTAGTACTGTGGAATGAAAAGTAATCTGCCAAATCAAATTTCTTCAACATTCCAAAACAACGCAGTATTACTTTATTGTGTCATGACTATACGTGGATGATGCCGGGTTCGTGCTAGATGCGAGGAGCATCCAAAGTCTAGCTCAAAACAAAATCAAGTCTTATGCAGTGTTAGGTTTGATTGGTAACATGATACGCTGTATCCGCAAACTTCTGTGAAGAATGCCACAAGTTAACACCAAGACTATGATGAGTTAACATGAATACAAGGAGTAACTACGGTAAACACAACCTCCTGACATACAATACAAACGCTTTATGATCACATAATAATAATAATAATACTTGATAAGTACATCTTTTGAAGATATTTGATTAAAAATGCATTCTGAAAAAAATACATTGCATTTTATGAAAAACTGTATTATATTGAAATTTATTTCATAATACAGTACATGTATTGTAAAACAACAACAATTCTATACTATGGAAATCTTGAAGCTTTATGTGTTGCCAATATTCTTATTTTTGTTAAATTTTGACTAAATATATATTAACTGAAATTTAATGGATAAGTGTAGTACATTTTAAATTTTATGTGATACATTTTTCAAGTTTTGTAAATAGCGAGTTTTTCTATTTTATTTCCAATATCAATGCATGTTACTATGTTTGCTAAGCTTTATATCATTATTTAGATAATAACAGTCAACAAATTACTTACGCTGACATGACAATCACTCAACCCACACATCTGGAAAGAAAGGAAGCGATGACCTTTCAGTTTGTCCTGCACCAGTAGATAAGGGATGCAGATGGACCAAAAAAATTGCCTCACTCTTTCTTTCTTTTTAGATGCAAGGTTGAATGTCTAAATTTCAGCCACATTATTGTAAATTTCTGCCTGTATACTGATATCTTATTTGCAAGCGATCTTCCATTTAATGGTTAGTATAATTGCTTTATTAAAATAAATTGCGGAAGCTCTTTGAGGTATCGTATCTTCAGCTAATGAGAAAGCAAATGTTTAAAATATTTATTCCAGCCCTTGATGGATATACTGACCACTGCTTCCATTCCCCTTATTTACTTAATGAGTGCAATATGCTTCACGTGACATACGGAATGTCTCATCCAGAGACATTGCTATTGCAATAGACATTACCTTGCTATTGTGTAATTACTTGTGTTAACCTTTTACTATCAATGACCTCCACAACATTGCATTCAATCATCCATAACAGACGAGTTAAAAATATTATTTTTGTGGGGATGAGAGAGATTTGGAGGCAGTGAGAAACTTAACAAATAAGTCTGTATTATATCGGGGAAAAAAGTTAAAGAAATATTGTTATTGTGTTTTCCAGCATATAAGATGCAGCCTCCCCTTTAAGCTGTATGCTATTTAATGAGGATATGTTCTTGTTAAAAACTATTTTAGTACATTTTCTTTTAACTTTTCTAGGGGCATTTTATATATACAGTATATAAAAAAAATTATGATTCTGTACTTAGAGGCAGCACAGTTACAAAATAGCATAAATCATTGTGTCCCATCTACCAGAGAAAATGGTACACATATATACAAGTACAGTTGAAGACTAAACCACACACCAAAAAATGAGGAGACAACGATGTTTTGGTCCATCCCGGACCATTATCACAATTGACTTGATAATGGTCCAGGACGGACTGAAACGTTGTCGTCTCCTTATCTTCTGGTGTATGGTGCAGTCATCATATCTTCAGCCAAGTTACTGTGACTCATCTTCTGCAAGTAGTTGGATGTCCTCATGATTATAAGAGCATATAGGAAGTTTCTAACTATGTTCTAGGACCTCCAGTATTCATAAAGAACACTTCTTTTGCTCTAAAAGCATGAACAGACATATCCTATAAAACATGAACAGAAATGCTATACAGTATATACTTTTACATGATAAAAGATATAATATTGGAATCTTGTAGTTTCAAGACAGTCAAGGTAATGGCCTGAAGTGTAATGCATTTGGTGTTCTAATAACGTAATAACATTACAAAAATGTTATGGTTACTTTGTGTGTTTGTGGAGCTACGATACTTTGACTAGACTCGGTACTAAACAGTGTATCTTTTAAATGCTTTAATTCAAATGAATGGAAAAAAAAGAATATTTTGTAATTTATAATTAATGTTACAGTACATTCAATTTCAGAAAATCTTTTTTATTATTATTATTATTATGTATTACAGTTGAACTGTCAACATTCACATTTTACAGATTAGAAAAATTAAGATATTTTGGTTTTTCTGTGGGCCAGAATTGATCGGGCATTTATGCACCCACTATGAAACCTATACTTCTTTCCTCAATCATGGCAGCTTAGTCTGTATATATTAAGAACCTTAAAGGTTCGAAACTCCACAGCCCAAGGTTATTATTGTTATTGACAACTTTGTAGCACTTCGGAGTTCATAAACTGTTGAATTAATACAAAGAAAGTCGCCATGTTCGAGGAAAGATGTGCAGGTTTTGCATGTGGAGACGTAAATCCTTGGCAAGTCTTGACCCCTGGATCAGATAGTCGGTGACAGATCAGACTGTCATCATCTTGTCGTCAATAATGTGCCAGTTTAGTACACAGTTGTTTCAAATTTTATCCCTCATAAAATAATGGCAAAACTCTCATGTTGAACAATTTACATACATGTGACTTTTCCTGTGATAGCCTATTTTATCTTTACAGTAGTTTCATTACAATTGTAAATTTCTAGATACTCTTAAACCTAGTTTTACAAGGAACTGTACTTAATTTGAGTGTTTAGAAGTGCAAGAAGGTTCATAAAAACTGAACCTTCAAGACGTGTCATAACTGACCCACTTATAAGATGCTCTAAGGCTTCACTAACATGATTTGTTATTGATAGGAACTAAAACATAGTTACTGCCATTGCTTTAATATGGGTAATTACGTTATGCCTGAAGTTCTTCTAATTAGCTACTCTAGCTGCAGAACATATTACTTTATGTAAAGTAATTAACAAAAGAAAATACTATAGGCCAGGATGTCTTGTGCAGAACTGTATTCATTTGGCCCTTGATAAGGTCCTTGGTGACCTTATCAAGGGCCAAACTTGATAAGGTCACCCTTATATATAACACCTTATATATTGGCATCCTGCTTGATCTTCAGCAACTTTTAGCTACTGTATCGTGAAACACAGGCAGTGCTACATAAGTCTTCCCGGCTTAGTGCCTTCTTGATAATTAATTATATAGAACTGTCTGTGTTATAGAACATTCAAGTAACCTATGTTAAACATAATATCAGTGCTGAAGATATTGTACTGAAATTGTTTTTATTAAATTCTGCAATTCAAAACATTTGACAGAATATTGTGGTAATTTTTTAACATTTGTATTATATTTCTAGGCATTTTTGTGAAACTTAGTGAATAGGTATACAGTATATAAATAAAGATCTTTCAATTGTTAATGAAGACTTTATCAGGTAAACTACATGTGTATGTGTGAGGATAAAGCCTCGTGTTGAAGAAAACATAACACTGTTGAACAACTTGAGCAACATGTAATAATAAATGAATACTGTAGACCCTTTCTTATATATATCTAAAATGGCAGCTTAATCATCCAATTTGTCTTACCTTAACAAAGCTGGCAATCAAATGGGCAAAGCAATTAAACCAAATACTCTCAACTATGCTTGTATTATTTAACATCAACCTTATTACCTAAGTGTAGTTACAGGATGAGAGCTACGCTCGTGGTGTCCCGTCTTTCCAGCACTCTTTGTCATATAACGCTTTGAAACTACTGACGGTCTTGGCCTCCACCACCTTCTCCCCTAACTTGTTCCAACCGTCTACCACTCTTATGATTTATAGTTCATGTTGAAATGAAATTCTAGTAGGCATACAGTATAGAAAATAGATTTAAATTAGAGTACTGTATTTTAAAACGTTTGTGCAAAAATTACAAATTGAAGTTCCCTTGTTTTTAATGCAAAAACCAGGCAAATTAAATGTAAAAGGATATGGGGAAACAGCAACAACAAAAAAAAGGTTCAGTAAGGTTCCTGAAGCCTCCAAAAGTTTACATTTCTGGGAGGTCTCCTTTGGAAGCTTGAGGGGGGAGGGGGCCACTGAGGAGCCCACCAGAAAGTCGTTTCATCACATTTAACACTTATGAGTTTTTCCACACTTTACTTAATAAAAAAAAGTGTCTTAATAAAAAAAAAGTGTAGCCAGTCTATAGACTAGATCATGACTTCCATTCACAACTGTATCCAATGGCAACATTAGACTCCTTATAAAAAGACCATAACTAGAAAAAGTGCAAAGCCACCAGGGAGATTTCACAACTACAAAATACTGTACAGCCAGTATAAACTCACCAGGAAGAGTATGAAGAAAATAAAGGGACTAACAGCATGCTTGACTCCATTGTGGGAAATTCCCATGAATAGCCCAAATTCTATGGGAAGAAACCCATAAAATACTAGTGCACCATATGTCCTCTATATTGTACTGGACTTGAGGACATATATCAACTAAAATCTAGATAGTCATCTCGATTTCTTTCTAAAATGGGAAACCATACATAAATATATAACACAGTAATTTTTGATGGGATTGTGTGTATGAAAAGACTGTTCTAGGATGGAGATACATTATTAGATTCAGGAAGGCGGTTGGGATACAGATAATTATGATTCGCCCAAAGATATAACATTTCCATAGGTAGACTAATGCTTGTTGATCTTAATCAACAGTCCATGAAGTTCATTAATGTATGAGTTTTGACAATTGTCAGGTCAGTAATCAAATTAAATACTGTAATAAACTGACAATTATTATATATTCTTACTCTTGTCTTAAATATTAGTACAGTACTCTTTATGTAATTTTAAATGAGATATAAAAAGCTTTTAGTAAAAGTGGATGGCAATTAATTAATAATAAATACTGTGTAATTAAACCAGAAAAATTAATTCTGGTAGCCTCTTACAAGGGACACTCGTCTCAACGTGAGACAACAACAGGATTAACTACACACCAAACGTTAACTGTGTGTGTGTGTTCACCCAGCAGTGATTGGGTACCTGGTTATTAATTAACCATTTGGTAGGTTGTACTCCAGGGAAACTTGTGGGTAATGCTTACCATCTTGAGGTTATCTTGAGATGATTTCGGGGCTTTAGTGTCCCCGCGGCCCGGGTCTTCGACCAGGCCTCCACCCCCAGGAAGCAGCCCATGACAGCTGACTAACACCCAGGTACCTATTTTACTGCTAGGTAATAGGGGCATAGGGTGAAAGAAACTCTGCCCATTGTTTCTCGCCGGCGCCCAGGATCGAACCCGGGACCACAGGATCACAAGTCCAGCGTGCTGTCCGCTCGGCCGACCGGCTCCCTATGGTTCAGGGTGAACTGTGAGTGTGGGTGAACTGCCTGAAAAAGTGAAGCACCAAATCTCACTTTAACACGAAATATGCCGAACTTTCACTCCGACAGAAGTAGTGCCCTGAGGCTTTATAACATGTGTGTGAATGACCTTCCTCAACCAGAACACAAGACACGATTATTACAGTACTCAGTTTACAGATTACATGATTCAAGTACAGTAATAACATCGAATTTAGGAGTACTATACAAACTAATACTCCACTGTTAGAAGTAAAGCCAACAGAGTCTAGTACTGTACTAACAACCAAAGTGGAAAGAATATTGGGAATCCCTACTAATCCTTAGAATATATTGAGGCCATTCATTGAGATTGGAACTCACAACCCTGTTCACACTTCTCGACATGGTAACCAATTGCAATGACAATGGATTTCAAGTTGATTTAGAGTATGTGAACTTTTAATAAGATACCATATGAAAGACAGGCCCCTGAAACTACAAGAAAAAAATCTAGAATTGATTAAAATAGGTTCAAACACATAAAAAGAAAGGGTCATTGTAAATGTAATGGAATTAGATTGGCAAAATATTTTAAGTGGAGTTTATAATAAGTTTATACTGTATTTCAAAGATAAACCTTTTTGTAATACTGTATACTGAACTTTAACGATATAGATGATATCAACACAAAATCTGCAAATGACAAAGATCAACATGAAAGTGGGAAGCAATTAAGCATGATATGGAAGCCTCACAAAGGATCAATAAGAACTCCAAAAATGATCAAATGGCTAGCAAATGTTTTTTCAATACTGTATTACATATGTGGAATGATCTTCCCAACCATGTTAAAGACAGTACCTCTCTCAACCAGTTTAAGATAAAAACGAAGCACTACCTAATAAATTCCCTGTAACCTACCTTACCCCTCTGTTGTCAACCCATGTATGTTTTTTTTTTTTTTCAAAACAACGCTGTTTGAATGTAATTTTCTGTAATAATTTGTAATTGTATTTGTGCTGCTTTTTCAACCATGTTCCCCCCTCTTTTACCTCTATTTTTATTTGTTCTCAACACATTTTATTCTTTTTATCCATTAGTTTTAAGCTTTAGTCATTAATGTTTTTCCTGCCCGAAACGCTTTGCGTAATAGTGGCTTTAGGCATTGTATGTACTAGCTCTATCTATTAACCCAACAAACTTTGTAAAATCTCTTTATGTATGTACCTTACCTAAATAAACATTTATTCATTTATTTATTTATTTGTAAACTAGTCAATAAAATCAGTCCTGCAAGTACAGTAGTTCCTGTGGTAAAAGAAAATCCAGCATTGAATATAATGAAAAAAAAACTCTTTCTGATGGGCTCTCTCAGTGGCTCCCTGCAGCTAAACCAAGTGGATAGCTCAAGGAGCCTTTAAGGGAAGGTCTTCCAAAAATAAAGTGTTGAATGCTATGAAATGCATATTTCAGGTGGGTCCCCTCAGTGGCTCTCTGCAGCCACTGAGAGCCACTGATATGATATTATGATACTGTATTTATATTATGATAGTTTAAATGAGGTCATATTCCCAAGGGACTACTCAGTTTAGAAACAGGACAGAAAAATTAGAAAAGGCAGTGGTGTTGCTGTGCTGGTGAAAGAACAGCTAAAGGTAAATGAAATAATGATTGCCTATCCATGAGAAGTTGATATAATAGCACTAGAAATCTGCAGTCAGGATGATATACTAACGATCATAAATGTACCGCCATATAGTCCACCGCCATGCAACACATGGTCAAAGGAGGAGCTGGATAATAAACGAGAGAGTCTTATAACAATAATGAGAGAGATTATAGCGAGAGCTGATAAAGATAGATCACGAATGTTGGTAGTCAGCGACTTCAATTTGAAATCCATAGACTAGGAGGCATATGAAACTAGAACAGAGGATTTTTGGACTTGTAGATTTGTAAACCTCATCCTGGAAACATTCATGTTTCAACATGTTAAACAAGCTATGAGGATGGTACCCTCCATGCTAGATTTGATATTTACCAGGAAAGAGGAAGAGATATTTGACATTCAGTACCTTCCTTCCTTGGGTAAAAGTGACCATGTCTTTTTTTGGAATAAAGTATGAAATGCATTATAATCTGGAAGAAAATGAGGTTGAAGCAGTTGAAAAACCTGATTTCAGGAGAGGACATGATGGGGAACTCAGACATTTCTTTAAGGAATTTGACTGGAAAGACTTGCTATTAGGACATGAAGTAATGAGATGTATGTCAAGTTTTGTGAAATATATGATAAAGACACAAAAAAAATTATACCAAAGCAAAGATGCAGAACTAGGAAACAGGAGTGGTTCAACGGAAATTGCGAAAGGGCCAGAGACCAAAAGTCACAAAAATATAATCAATATAGAAAGAGGCCAAACCCCCAAACATACCAGCGATATAAAGATGCGAGAAACAACTACACGGCAGTGAGGAGAGAGGCAGAAAGAAACTTTAAAAAAGGGATAGTGGACAAATGTAAAACAGAACCAGGCCTCTTCTATAAATTCATAAACAACAAATTGCAGGTACTGTAAAGATAATATTCAGAGGTTGAAAATAGGAAACTGATTCACGGAAAATTAAAAGAAAATGTGTGAAACATTAAAAGAAAAGTTCCAAAGTGTGTTTGTACAAAATGAAATCTTCAGGGAACCAGACACAATAAGAATTCCAGAGAACAACATAGAGCACATCGAGGTGTCTAGAGACGAAGTGGAAAAAATGCTCAAGGGGCTAAGTAAGAACAAAGCAGTTGGTCCAGATGGAGTTTCACCATGGGTTCCTGAGCTCAGCATTCCACTTCAACTCATTTTTCAGGCATCCCTGTGTACAGGAGTTGTAGCTGATGTGTGGAAAAAGGCTAACATAGTTCCAATCAGCAAAAGTGGCAGCAGGGGAAGACCCCCTCTATTATAGACCTGTATCATTGACAAGTGTAATAGTCAAAATATTGGAAAAAATAATTAAAACTAAATGGGTAGAAAACCTGGAGAAAAAACGATATAATATCAGACAGACAGTATGGTTTTCAATCTGGAAGATCCTGTGTAACGAATTTACTCAGTTTCTATGATCGAGCCACGGAGATTTTACAAGAAAGAAATGGTTGGGTTGACTGCATCTATCTGGACCTAAAAAAGGTTTTTGACAGAGTTCCACATAAGAGGTTGTTTTGGAAACTGGAACATATTGGAGGGGTGACTAATTATATGAACATGTTTGCTGATGATGCTAAGATAATAGGGAAGATAAGAAACTTAGATGAGTGCCATACCTTTCAAGAAGACCTGGACAAAATAAGTATATGGAGCACCACTTGGCAAATGGAATTTAATGTGAATAAATGCCATGTTATGAAATATGGAATAGGAGAACATAGACTCCACACAACCTATAAATTATGCGAGAAATCTTTAAAGAATTCTGATTAAGAAAGAAATCTAGGAGTGGTTCTTGACAAAAAACTATCACCTAAGGACCATATCAGGAACATTGGGCGAGAAGCCTATGGTACACTTTCTAACTTCAGAATTGCTTTTAAATACACAGATGGAGAAATACTAAAGAAATTGTTCACGACTTTTGTCAGACCAAAGTTGGAATATGCAGCTGTTGTGTGGTGCCCATATCTTAAGCAGCACATCAACACACTGGAAAAGGCACAAAGACATGCCACTAAATGGCTCCCAGAACCTTAAGGACAAGAGCTACGAGGAGAGGTTAGAGGCATTAAATATGTAAAAGCTGGAAGCTAGAAGAAAAAAAAGAGGCAATATGATCACTACATAAAAAGTAGTAACAGGAATCGATAAAATTGATAGGGAAGAATTCCTGAGACCCGGAACTTCAAGAACAAGAGGTCATAGATTTAAACTAACGAAACAAAGCTGCCGGAGAAACTGTTGGAGTGCCTCAGGGCAGCATCTTGGGACCCCTACTATTCCTTATATACATTAATGATCTGCCTAATGTCTCTAACATTCTGAAACCTATTTTGTTTGCTGATGATACTACCCTCATTTACTCCAACCCCAACCCACATTCACTAAATGATGTTGTTAATAATGAACTAAAAAAAGTCCACTTATGGATGTCAACCAACAAACTAACACTTAACATAGAAAAGACTTACTACATCCTATTTGGAAGCAAATCTACAAATGCAATTCAGCTTCAGATTGACAATGTAAACATTAGCAATAAAAATGATGGAAAGTTTCTTGGCATATTCCTAGACAAGAGACTCAACTTCAGTACCCACATACAACACATAACTAAGAAAGTCTCTAAAACAGTTGGTATACTCTCCAAAATCAGATATTATGTTCCTAACTCTGCTCTCATCTCTCTATATTATGCACTAATCTATCCCTATCTCAACTATGGTATCTGTGCATGGGGTTCAACCACTGCAAACCACCTCAAGTCCATTATCACCCAGCAAAAATCTGCTATCAGAATAATATCAAATTCTGCTTTCAGACAACACACAGCCCCCTTGTTTAACTCCCTAAACATGCTAAACATAATCTCACTCCACAAATTCTCTTGTGTCAACTACATTTACAAAACCCTATTCTTAATGCAAATCCTTGTCTGAAACTCTTCCTGGACAGATGTAATAGGACCCATTATCACAACACCAGAAATAAATATCTCTTCGATATCCCCAGAGTTAAACTTAATTTGTGTAAACACTCTATGCAAATAAAGGGACCTAGTTTATGGAATTCACTCCCTACTGAATTGAAAAGCTGTCCAACTTTTACATCATTCAAAATCAATACTAAAAAGTACCTAATTTCATCTTCATAGTTTTTCTCTCTTTGCCTTAAAATTGCACTGTTTCTATTGCTACCCAATCTCCCAACCTTTTTGTTCCCAATTTGAACATCTTTACCATTGAGATCATTGCTGTTTTCTTATATGTTGCTGCCATTCTATTGTATGGTGTTAATAAATCTTGTTTATCTGTATCTTTTGCTACCCAGTTTCCCAATCTTTATGAACCCATTCTGAACATCTTTACCATTGTGATCATTGCTGTCTTATATGTGCTGTCAATCTGCTATATGGTGTCTATTAATCTTGTTTAAATTACTAATCAAGCTGTCAATGTAATCAATCAGAGCTTTAATATAACAATGTGCTTTAATATACTTACTTATCTCTCTCATCTCATTTTTCTCTTGTAATGTATCTTTCATTTATCAATTCTGATTGAACTTACCTACTTAATATTATCTGCTAGATTAAGGACCTGCCCGAAACGCTGCGCGTACTAGTGGCTTTACAAGAATGTAATTACTGTACTATCCAATGTATTCTCACAAACCCAATGTACCTTCTTGTATATACAGTATATAAATAAATAAATAAATAAATAAATAAATAAATAAATAAATAAATAAATAAATAAATATAAGAAAATTCACTTTTGTAAGCAGAGTGGAAGAAGGTAGGAACAAGTTAGGTGAGAAGGTGGTGGAGGCCAAAACTGTCGACATATTTTCTGAAATTGGATGCAAAGGGACCAGGTCAACAGCACCAAGTCTTGGATGGACTCCTTCATGTTCATTTAAGTCTATTAATTAAAAAGCTGTTTTTCATGCTACCTCCATGCAAGGACCTGAAATATGTATTCATGTCAAACAAGACATGTTTTAACTGTAGCTGATTAAGGAACATACAGCTCCTATCCCTATGCCAGGTATGTCTCTCCATGCAATTAATCTTATGAATGAAAAAATACTAATGCTGTACAATACTAAGGCTGTGGCTGACTGAACCCACATCCCTGGACTCCCTAGGTGCTTAAGAAAGAAGTTTTGGATGGGGTTTTGTGAACTTCAAGTTTGGGAGTACTTCTGGTTGAGATACTGTTGAGCTCATTATGGTTCAGTAAGTACTGCATGTACCTGGAGAGTCCAGGGACATGGGTTCGATCCCATTGTATGTGCTCACTATTTACCCATAGATACACCACATTCTTGTGATTTCATTGTGAAATCTTATGAATATTCTTAAAATAAAAAATGCACGCCTTTCTTTTATATTAGTGTTCAAACTCAATCTGTATTACTGTAGTTAAATTAATAGAAAACCCCATTATGAGTGAATTAGCACAGTGATTTACAGCATAAAGCAAATTTAATGTTATGTAAGAAAAGGTAGACTGACAAAGTTAAAGAAACCTCATAAATTCCACTCTACTCATCTTTCAATAAAGCTCTTATTCCTGTGTGTAAGCTGCTGTACAGTATTGTACTGTATATAAGAACACCTTTTGAGCAGGACGGTGGGATTGGGATTGATCCCATGGGATCGCAGGTTTGATCTCTCCATTATGCTCATAAGATTTTCTCATAGATATACTAGGTTACATTATTGTGATTTCCTTGTGTACTGCATGTACTTTAAACAAGGCTCTGGGTGCTTGGGAGGAAGCATATGTAGGAATGTAATTTAAAAATACATTAGATACTGTATTTGTCAGGAGGCACCTGATAAAAATACAGTACGTATGATATTTGACCAATCAACATGCCCGAAACGCTTTGCGTAATAGTGGCTTTAGGCATTGTATGTACTAGCTCTACCTATAAGTCAAACAATTCTTGTAAATATTTATTGTATGTATGTACCTTACCTAAATAAAATTGTATTGTATTGTATTGTAACAGAGCTAGGATGCAAGGCAGATGCTGAGGGGGGATTGTACAGGGTAAACATTAGGTTTGCAAAATTAATTCCTGCTGTTGGGGATTGGAAGTCTGTAATTAGGCTTATTGCCCATGAGTAAAGTAAACTCTCAGTGCATATACACCAAGAAATGAGATACACCTCTTGGTGAATATCTTTGTATGTTGCCAACGTTTTGCAATACCATCCTAAAGATACTCTCGTTAATGCCATATGTGGTCTCAATGAATCTATGAAATGATTAGTTAATATGGTATATAAAATATCTATGTTATCCTCGTCTGGAACTATGATGATGGACTGAACTATGGTAATCAATATCTGGAGAGATATTGACAACGCAAGCAGGCACTACCGGATGACACATCAAAGCAATGTTGGCAATTTTATCTTAAGACATTCCTACGACGGCCTTCAGACAAATTTAACAAGCAAGCTACGACTTGGCGCGACATGGCTGTGCAGTTGGCGTAAATGTTTCGCCTTCTGGACCAGCAATTCACGTGGGCAACAGCAGTTAGTCAGCTGCTGCTTGTTTACCAGCTCAGCTGATCCTTGTCCTGAACCTTCACTTTGACTTCATAACCCAAATAGTATCACTATGAAGGCAAAAATTACCACGTTGACAACTAATATATAAATAAGTATTTATCTATACATTCTTATCTTTGATATTTAAACTTAATACTAAATATGAGGAGAATATACAATACCTCTAATTGTATACAAAAGACACAAGCCATCGGACAAGTGCATATAATATCCACATTAAAACCCGGCCACAAAATACCCTTAGACAAAATATAGTGAGTAATAACGAATAGGTATATTTGTGTGCGTAATAAAAGTATAGATTTATGGGATAAATGAGGGTAAGAGAGGGTAGAGAAGCGAGAGAAGGGAGGAGGAGAGGAAGGGGGCGAGAGCGCATGCGCGCCTCAGTGGGTGACAACCTCGCCATTAGAGCAGTGTAGGAGACGCTCCCGGGTTATAATTCCTGGTATAATCCCGCGCGGTCACCACCACCTCCATCCCGGCGGCGTAGTGAGGGGGGCGTGGAGTGTCCGGGGACATGTGTCGCGACCCTGCACGAGTTACTGAAGACAGCGCATGAGGCTAGTGACTTTCCCCGAGTGACCTGCGGTGAGTGACGGGTGGTGGTGGAGGGTAGCGCTCCATCTGGTACCTCTGTTCACCCTCCCTGGCTTCCTCTACCAGTGTGTGTGTGTGTATGACAAGCCGCCGGCTTCCTGTCGTCATGGCGGTCACGGGTATTAATGGGCTTGAGGTAAACTCTTGGTAAATATGGGATGGGGTTGTGGGGGGGTTATAGTGTTGGTTAATGTAGCCCCCCCCATACTTCCCCTTAATGTAGCCCCCCCTATACTTCCCCTTAATGTAGCCCCCCCCTATACTTCCCCTTAATGTAGCCCCCCCCTATACTTCCCCTTAATGTAGCCCCCCCCTATACCCCCCTCTTCCCTTAATGTAGCCCCCCCTATACTTCCCCTTAATGTACTACTCCCCTTAATGTAGCCCCCCCTATACTTCCCCTTAATGTAGCCCCCCCCTATACTTCCCCTTAATGTAGCCCCCCCCTATACTTCCCCTTAATGTAGCCCCCCCCTATACTTCCCCTTAATGTAGCCCCCCCCTATACTTCCCCTTAATGTAGCCCCCCCCTATACTTCCCCTTAATGTAGCCCCCCCCTATACTTCCCCTTAATGTAGCCCCCCCCTATACTTCCCCTTAATGTAGCCCCCCCCTATACTTCCCCTTAATGTAGCCCCCCCCTATACTTCCCCTTAATGTAGCCCCCCCTATACTTCCCCTTAATGTAGCCCCCCCTATACTTCCCCTTAATGTAGCCCCCCCTATACTTCCCCTTAATGTAGCCCCCCCTATACTTCCCCTTAATGTAGCCCCCCCCTATACTTCCCCTTAATGTAGCCCCCCCCTATACTTCCCCTTAATGTAGCCCCCCCCTATACTTCCCCTTAATGTAGCCCCCCCCTATACTTCCCCTTAATGTAGCCCCCCCCTATACTTCCCCTTAATGTAGCCCCCCCTATACTTCCCCTTAATGTAGCCCCCCCCTATACTTCCCCTTAATGTAGCCCCCCCTATACTTCCCCTTAATGTAGCCCCCCCATACTAAATGTAGCCCCCCCCATACTCCCCCTTAATGTAGCCCCCCCCCCCATACTCCCCCTTAATGTAGCCCCCCCCATACTCCCCCTTAATGTAGCCCCCCCCATACTCCCCCTTAATGTAGCCCCCCCCCCCCCTTATATAATGTAGCCCCCCCCATACTCCCCCTTAATGTAGCCCCCCCATACTCCCCCTTAATGTAGCCCCCCCCCCATACTCCCCCTTAATGTAGCCCCCCCATACTCCCCCTTAATGTAGCCCCCCCCATACTCCCCCTTTAATGTAGCCCCCCCCCTCCCCCCTTAATGTAGCCCCCCCATACTCCCCTTAATGTAGCCCCCCCATACTCCCCCTTAATGTAGCCCCCCCCCATACTCCCCCTTAATGTAGCCCCCCCATACTCCCCCTTAATGTAGCCCCCCCCATACTCCCCCTTAATGTAGCCCCCCCATACTCCCCCTTAATGTAGCCCCCCCATACCCCCCATACTCCCCCTTAATGTAGCCCCCCCCCATACTCCCCCTTAATGTAGCCCCCCCATACTCCCCCTTAATGTAGCCCCCCCCATACTCCCCCTTAATGTAGCCCCCCCCTACTCCCCCTTAATGTAGCCCCCCCCATACTCCCCCTTAATGTAGCCCCCCCCATACTCCCCCTTAATGTAGCCCCCCCCATACTCCCCCTTAATGTAGCCCCCCCATACTCCCCCTTAATGTAGCCCCCCCCATACTCCCCCTTAATGTAGCCCCCCCCATACTCCCCCTTAATGTAGCCCCCCCCTCCCCTTATACTCCCCCTTAATGTAGCCCCCCCCCATACTCCCCCTTAATGTAGCCCCCCCCCATACTCCCCCTTAATGTAGCCCCCCCATACTCCCCCTTAATGTAGCCCCCCCCATACTCCCCCCTTAATGTAGCCCCCCCATACTCCCCCTTAATGTACTCCCCCTTAATGTAGCCCCCCCCATACTCCCCCTTAATGTAGCCCCCCCCATACTCCCCCTTAATGTAGCCCCCCCCATACTCCCCCTTAATGTACCCCCCCCCATACCCCCCTTAATGTAGCCCCCCCCATACTCCCCCTTAATGTAGCCCCCCCCATACTCCCCCTTAATGTAGCCCCCCCCATACTCCCCCTTAATGTAGCCCCCCCCATACTCCCCCTTAATGTAGCCCCCCCCCTCCCCCTTATACTCCCCCCTTAATGTAGCCCCCCCCATACTCCCCCTTAATGTAGCCCCCCCCCATACTCCCCCTTAATGTAGCCCCCCCCCCATACTCCCCCTTAATGTAGCCCCCCCCCCCACATACTCCCCCTTAATGTAGCCCCCCCCCCCATACTCCCCCTTAATGTAGCCCCCCCCCCCCCCTTACTCCCCCTTAATGTAGCCCCCCCCCATACTCTCCCCCTTAATGTAGCCCCCCCCACACACTCCCCCTTAATGTAGCCCCCCCCATACTCCCCCTTAATGTAGCCCCCCCCACACACACTCCCCCTTAATGTAGCCCCCCCCCCACACACTCCCCCTTAATGTAGCCCCCCCCCCACACACCCCCTTAATGTAGCCCCCCCCCCACACACACTCCCCCTTAATGTAGCCCCCCCCACACACACACTCCCCCTTAATGTAGCCCCCCCCCACACACACACTCCCCCTTAATGTAGCCCCCCCCCACACACTCCCCCTTAATGTAGCCCCCCCCCCACACACACTCCCCCTTAATGTAGCCCCCCCCCCACACACACACTCCCCCTTAATGTAGCCCCCCCCCCACACACACTCCCCCTTAATGTAGCCCCCCCCCCCCCACACACACACTCCCCCTTAATGTAGCCCCCCCCCCACACACACTCCCCCAATGTACCCCCCCCACACACACTCCCCCTTAATGTAGCCCCCCCCCCACACACACTCCCCCTTAATGTAGCCCCCCCCCCACACACACTCCCCCTTAATGTAGCCCCCCCCCCACACACACTCCCCCTTAATGTAGCCCCCCCCCACACACACTCCCCCTTAATGTAGCCCCCCCCCCCACACACACCTCCCCCTTAATGTAGCCCCCCCCCCCCACACCCACTCCCCCTTAATGTAGCCCCCCCCCCACACACACACTCCCCCTTAATGTAGCCCCCCCCCCACACACACACTCCCCCTTAATGTAGCCCCCCCCCACACACACTCCCCCTTAATGTAGCCCCCCCCCCACACACACTCCCCCTTAATGTAGCCCCCCCCCCCACACACACTCCCCCTTAATGTAGCCCCCCCCCCACACACACACTCCCCCTTAATGTAGCCCCCCCCCCCACACACACTCCCCCTTAATGTAGCCCCCCCCCCACACACACTCCCCCTTAATGTAGCCCCCCCCCCACACACACTCCCCCTTAATGTAGCCCCCCCCCCACACACACACTCCCCCTTAATGTAGCCCCCCCCCACACACACACTCCCCCTTAATGTAGCCCCCCCCCCACACACACACTCCCCCTTAATGTAGCCCCCCCCCCCCACACACACTCCCCCTTAATGTAGCCCCCCCCCCCACACACACTCCCCCTTAATGTAGCCCCCCCCCCACACACACTCCCCCTTAATGTAGCCCCCCCCCCACACACACTCCCCCTTAATGTAGCCCCCCCCCCCCACACACTCCCCCCCCTTAATGTAGCCCCCCCCCCCCACACACACTCCCCCTTAATGTAGCCCCCCCCCCACACACACTCCCCCTTAAATGTAGCCCCCCCCCACCCCACACACTCCCCCCTTAATGTAGCCCCCCCAATGTAGCCCCCCCCCCCACACACTCCCCCTTAATGTAGCCCCCCCCCCACACACACTCCCCCTTAATGTAGCCCCCCCCCCCCCCCACACACACTCCCCCCTTAATGCAGACACCACCCCCACACACAACTCACCCCTTAATGTAGCCACCCACACCCCCCCACACACACTCCCCCTTAATGTAACACACCCAACACACACTCCCCTTAATGTAGCCCCCCCTTCCCCAACACCCCCCCTTTAATGTACCCCCCCCCCCCACACACTCACACACTCCCCCTTAATGTAGCCACCCCCCCACACAAACTCCCCCCTTAATGTAGCCCCCCCCCACACACACTCCCCCTTAATGTAGCCCACCCCCCCACACCACACTCCCCCTTAATGTAGCCCCCCCCCACCACACCACACCACACTCCCCCTTAATGTAGCCCCCCCCCACACACACACCCCCCACCACACTCCCCCTTAATGTCCCCCCCCCACACACACAACACATCCCCCTTAATGTAGCCCCCCCCCACACACACACACACTCCCCCTTAATGTAGCCCCCCCCCCACACCACACACCCTCCCCCCTTAATGTAGCCCCCCCCCCTACCCACACTCCCCCTTAATGTAGCCCCCCCACCCACACTCACACACTCCCCCTTAATGTGTAGCCCCCCCCCCCCCCCCAACACACACTCCCCCTTAATGTAGCCCCCCCCCCACACACACATCCCCCTTAATGTAAGCCCCCCCCCCAACACACACTCCCCCTTAATGTAGCCCCCCCCCCCCACACACCCTCCCCCTTAATGTAGCCCCCCCCCCCCACACACACTCCACCTTAATGTAGCCCCCCCCCCACACCACACACTCCCCCCTTAATGCAGCACCCACCCATGATGTGTGTGGTTTAGAGTTGGAAAACCGCCTCGTAAAATAGGCTTGCGCGATTTGACGTCTCGCATGCTTTGTGCTACTGTCTAGCGATTGAGGTTTGTTGCAGGATTATCTAAATTGATGAAATTGTTCACAAATGTGTATATGAGTGGGGAATATCTATCAATTTTAAGTTACCAGTAGGCTTATGCAATTTCTGGTAAGGGTATGCCACGTCTAAAATTTTCAGTAGTAACGGCAAGAATAAAGGTGGTGGTAGTAAAATCGTGAATAATGTACTACCGTGTATGATGGACTTGTTTAAAATAGGTCTGTTTGTGGACATAAAGAATAACCATTCAAATGAAGTTATCATGTAGAGCAATGGCTGGTGCAGGGTGGTGGTGATTAAGCAAGTCTCCTTTCATCTGATGCCTCTTGTTCACCTAATGGTGAATAAATACCAGAGTCGTGCAGTTGTTTTGACTGACTACCTCGGGAAGGATGCAATGAATGGGATGTTATAATGGTACTTTTAATCTGCAAACATCAAAATGACTCCCCTTCTTCCCCCCCCCCCCCTTCAGAGCAGGAGAGATTTCTGAAATAGAGGGAATACAGAGAACCTATACGGCATGCATAGACATGACTCCTAAATTATTGGGACCATCTCAAAGGTCTCGTGATGTACTTTCTGGAAAGACGAGAGATCAAATAATGTATAAATGAGCTTTGCAATTATAGTACAGTACTGTATGTCATCTCCACTTGTTCTTGATCTCTCTGTAATGCATAAAGATGTGCCAGAGCTAGCTACTAATGTGCTCCTGTACAACTAGTCATCCCGTGAGATGGGGCTTTTTACCATCACATGGCTAGCTCTTGATACAAACTGTTCATAGACTTTGTTATTGCTGCTTAAATGCAGGAGTACCTATATTGTTAAACAGAATTGATAGTATTTTATATTATGACAGGGATGTATGTGTAAACGTACCATAATGTTATGTAAATAACAATAGTAGAAATAGAACGGATGAGTTAAGTACACTTATATGGCACACTGAAAGAATATAAAGCATCGATGAATATAGAAAATGGAATTAGCACTAGCAAAGCAAATTTACAAGTTGCTGTATTGCTGCTACCGTACAGTATACAGGTACTGTATTTAACAAAAGAATAGCACTTTTCTAGACTTTATATCACAAGTTCGCAAAAGTACTGTACTGTATTCTTATAAATTGTGCAATGTTTGGCCAGGTTCTCTGGCCTTGAAAGCTGGCACCAATGTTCCATGAATACGTACTACCAACTTTTGACAGTGTTGTAGAAATTTTACTGCAAGTGGGCGGTAGCCAAAATCTTTAAGATCGTCTAATCAAACCCATGTACCTAAATCTTTTTTTTATATAGTCGAGGAAAGCCTGTGTTTTGTACATTGTAGTACAGGGTAGTGCTCGGATATCCATTTTTGGCCGTTTGTTTCTCAAACCAGTGTTAAAATTAGCAGTGTACTCGCCTAGTTGTGCTTGAGGGGGTGGTTGAGCTCTGGCACTTTGGTCCCACATGTCAGTACTCTAGTGTTCTTATTTGAGTACATTTATTTTCACTTCTTCCAAGACACCCAGACACACTCAAATCTGTAGACATAGGCCTGTGGCCCATACAGGTTAGTCTTGCACATGCTGTTTCTCTAACAGATTTAAATCTTTAATTAGCATAGTAGTCTTATCAGCATTACTAATTTAATTGTATTAGCTTTGGTTAGCCTTGGTTAACCTACTTGAAAGTACTGTACTGTTATGTTAATATATTACACTACCCCCAGAAATTCTTAACTGGGTGTATCCATGCCTCCTTGGGGGCATGGGAACACATTTTAGCATGGGAAAATGTCTCTGAATATTTAAGTTGTTAGATTAGCATAATCTGTTACCATGTTTTGATTGGACAAAAATGGCAAAAATCTTGCTGGTTGTAGTTAGCTTGTGTATAGGATTTCCTGTTTTGCTATAAATTAGCAATATTTATTTTGTTTCTTTTCTACGTGTGTGTTGAGTACAGCACAGCTATTGACATCTTCTGAAGTCTGTAGTCATAAAAAGGTTAAGAACCTCTCTAAAACTATTTTATGGATATCATCTAGCACAAAATATCTTCATGAACTGCATGTGATTTTAAAATGAAGGATAATAATTAAAGAGCACAGATGCAATGTGAAACAAAGTTGAATAATAAATTTATTGATGGATTTGACAGGGGGGCAAATCCTTTAACTCCTGCCAGGTATGGAAATGTTATACCATATTTTACTAGGCTTGTGCAAGTGGCCTGTAGTCTTCCTATTGTCTGCATGTAGGCCACACTTCGTACACTAGTTTTAACTATACAGCAGTCAAATTTGTGGTTAACATATAATTTTTCACGTGCAACAGGTGTGAATGGTTAGCGTAATGAGTGTGGGCGATGATGGTGGCGAGAAAATTACGGCCACGATGGTAGCAACGACGGCGGTGGTAACGGGCACCACCCAGCCCTACACCACCAGCCTGCCACCCATAACATCCCCCGTCACACCTTTGGGCCCCACTGAGAACCTCCTCTTCCTGCAGACTACTGCTGCCCAGGCCATAGCTGGGGCATTTGTTTGGGCAGCGCTTCTCATCACATGTCATCAGGTAAGTTGTGCTGCAATATAATGTGGTTATTCGTATTATATTCTAATGCTGTATGTGGAGGGCTTTTCCCTTGTAGCACAGTGGTCTGTCCTCGATTTGCAATTGAGGGTTCCGGGTTCAATCCCTGGGCAGGGCAGAAGTGACTGGGCACGTTCATTTTCACCTGGTGTGTGTGTTTACTTGGTAGTAATTAGGTTCCTGGAAGTTAGGAAGCTGTTGTGGGTTGCATCCTGTGGAAGGTCAGTAGTTGGCATAATGATAAGTATAACTGCCCGAATCTCCATGCGTGTTAATGTATTTGCAAGAATGTTTAAACACCAGTGTGAGGTACTCCTAAACCCAATGTACTTCTTGTATATAAATATAAAAAGTAAATAAATTAAGGCTTCCTGTCCATCACAACAAGAATTATTTAAATTTGGCCTATGATTTTGAAAGTACAGTAACTGATTTTTTTTTCAATGTTACATTTTCCCTATAATGTCACTAATTGACAGTGAATTCTGATTTTAATCATTCATTAGCCATTGGCTATAAAAGTCTTCAGTCTTGGATGCTTTCTTATTGATGCTCTCAATTGATGGGAACACAATTTTATTTCTGCAATAATTATACAGTTTAGCATGAACTAGAGATGGTGTACAAAATGACACTAAAATGTACTCTAAAATTTCAAAATCCAGATATATTAGGCCAAATGAGAAACTGTCCAGACAGTGGCTCCAGGTGTTTGGACACCCAATGCCTCTGACAAATGGTATTTTACTCATTTTTTGTGGTATGAATATGTAAAGTGTTCTATGAACAAATCCATAAGGGCCGTGACGAGGGTTCGAACTTACATCAGAGAGCATCCCAGACGCTGTCCAGATGCATCATGCTATTATGATTTCTGTGGTGTGTGTGTTCTATGAACTTGCTATATCCATACCACTGCAGTGGAGAAATATGTGCATGATCACTAAAATGTACCTGGCATAAATTTCCAAAATTCTAAATCAATTTCAAATTCAATAACTTTAATGTTTGCACATAAAGTATATAATTGAGTTTACACAAAATGACTGTACCTGTACATATTTGCTTAAGAGTTGCAACACTTGTACGTAATCACCAGAATTCACCCGGCAACATTTTCCAAATGTGTTTGTTACAACTTACAATAGATAATTGGCATTACAGAAGCAAACACTAATGTGAACTGCTTAATGACCACAGTTGTGGGCCTGAGCCATACTAATCCCAGCTTAGTGTAACAATGCTGCAGGATGCCTTTTTTTTTTTTTTCTAAAGTGCAATAGCCTTCGAAACTCCATAAGTCAAATAGTGCTTCTGGTTGAGATACTGTACAGTACTTTAAGACATTGTTCAGTTGGAAGTGTGTGTGTGTCTGAGGAGCTCACGGATGAGAGTTCGATTCTATTTTATGGCTCCAATAGTTTCCCTTGTGTATCGTATTGTAATTTTTGTTTTGCAATCTGTTGAATGATTATCATAGTGATTATAGGAGTTTAAGCACTATAAACATGTTTAGCATTATAATATAAACAAGATCACGAGTGGTAACTGGATTTTTGGTAGACAAATTTAAACCTCGTGCAATGTTGGTCTCTAGGTCCGGTGTCACTAGTTTTGGCCAGTATTGGCGACAGCTGTTTGCACTTGCTCATGTGTGGGTGTGTAAATAAGTGGTGTATGGGTTAGTGTTTGTGTCCTTAGTTTAAGGTGCTGGTACAAGTGGACCAGATGTATATTGATGTGGCGTTAGTTTCTACCTGCAGACCCCCAATGCTATTTAATGTTGGGAGCATGTTTGACGTCAGGTTGGGCCTAGACTGAAGAGCTTACACTGGAGACTGATACAGGCAGACATACACACTTAATAATACACAGGATTTTAATAATAGGTATGGTATTACTGGCCATTTAAAGATCTTGGCAATTTTTTCCAATTGTGTTCACTTTACAATGGAATCGGTTTTGTTTAAAATGCATAGCCTATAACTTATTCACACTACATGAAATTATTTGAATTATTAATCTAAAGTCCTTGTGGAGAAAGCTAATAAGACTCTGCAGCAGTGTTCAACAGTCTGATTGACCAGGTTACTTAGTGACCAGGGATCCATGTACCCATGGCCTTTAACTCCCTCGAGATAGGTATTCCTTGAGAGGGTTGGTACTTCGGCTCCCTGAGCCAGGCTTGGGGAGTAGAACAACTCGAGTTGGCTGTGAAACCATATTAAAGTCTGAGTGGGCTGCTCATGATGAAACTCGTGAAACTGAAAAGCTGCTATTACCATCTACCACCCAAAACCACATGTTCAATTTAAAGTCCAAGTGGTTTTATGTCGTTCCCTGACCGAGTCCTCGTATACCAGCTTCGTGTCCTAAGTGATACTGTATAGTCAGTGTCTTAGCACTTTCTTCCAACAAATGCCTTTTTCTATGTTACTGAATATTGTAATTGTGGCTGCTTGATTGCCTTGGTTTTACTTAGAGTAGCGTTGAGGTAGTGCTGAGAATTTGCTTTGCTGCACAAAGTGTGAAGAGTCTTGTTAGATAGCATGACCTTCAGTGATAAGATATGATAATTTGATGACTCTTGGTCACAATGCAAGTCGAATTCTTAAAATGAATATTTTTAGTCAGTAAGATATATTTTAAACTGTAGCTATGCAGCTCAATACTTTTGTAGGCTTAAGCCTGTATGATTTATAAATTGTTTATGTAAACTAATAATGTACACAGTAAAATAATGAGGATTTTAATTATAAAGAAACTGTCTTATCCAGAAAGAATTATTTATAACTATGTATGAAAATTATTTCCAAGTACCAAAATAAATGTTTCCCAATATCAGTAAAGACATAAACATCCTTGTTGATTAGTGGTACAGTAATTGAAAATGTTGCTCTGGTGGGCTAGTTTATTAATCAAACTCAATCATTCCATGAGTGAACGGGCAGTACCACTATAGCAGCATGTACAATGCCTCATAATGGGAATAAAACCCACAAGGATGGTGACTTGCTAGTGTTTTTGCTAGATATGGGGGGGAATTTGCTGCAGTTATATTGACGCGTTATTTGTTTAAATAACTGATTTGTAACTTTGTATGACGAGTATCTACTCGGTCAGATTAATAGGCCTATTAAATAGTTTACAAGAACCAAAGAGCATAAAAAAAATACTGTAGTGTATATCCAGACTGGGGTTCTTTATTTTGGGTATGGTAGGTTTATGACTGACAGTTCTGCATTGCGTTCTTCAGGTTCCTTAAACTGCGTATACCAGGATAAGATGTACATTAGGCTGTTTTAGGCTTAGTTAGGCTAGGTTGTTTGGGAGAAAATTGCATAAGGTTACATAAATTTGTCTTAAAATATGTTGGCAGACTGTCTCGTGTATGATGTATAATCAGAGGTATGTTTTAGTAGTGAGCAGGAGATTTACAGTTAACTACTACTCTAATCTAGTTTTGAATGTCTAGTATTACACTGACTTTCTTTTCTTAGGTTACCGTGCCGTAAATAGTTACTCGGGAGTTAGGCATCTGTTGCGTCCCGTGTAAGGTCAGTATATTGGCCTAGGGAATCCTTGGTAAGCCTAACAGTTCTTGCCCATGACCATGGAGTCATAAGAATTGATCGACCAGGCATGACAACCGAGAATTTTGGAGCAATCTCTGTCCTCCCCGGCCTCTCCATACATGCCAGAAACAGTTCAATCCCATTTTATCACAACAAAAATTTTTACCGATAGGCTATTGTAGTTTTTAGCATATAACTATTTTAACCTTGGTTGTTACAGCTTTAATTTTAGTTTTGTGTAATGTTAGTCAAAGAGAATCACTGGGAGAAATGTTATTCTTCAGTAGAACCCAAAACCTGAGCCGGAATGCAACTTATGACGTCACGTTCGCACCTTGTGCATAATGTGTATAAAACAACTTTTTTTTATTTTGTTAGGTTTGGATGGATTGGTTTTACTTAGAGTAGCGTTGAGGTAGTGGTGAGAACTCGCTAAGGTCTTGGACCATTCTTTCCCTGGTTGTCTGGTGGTTGTGGTCTTTGTGCCTCTAAAGAACGCCAGTGTTTACCTTTGACATTTCTAGTAAGTGTAGCATAACTGTTGGGTAACATTACAGGCGTGGGAGCCTCGTATGGGCCAATAGGCCTACAGTAATTGCCGTTTTTTCTAATGTTCTCAAACTGGGTGTTTGCGTTGCCTGAATGCACTCCCGCACACGTGTTCCAAGTTGGCTCTTGTCAACAAAGCAGCCTTGGAACAGGCGTGCCCACCAGTGATGACTCGAGGTGATACCCCAGCTTGATAACCAACCCTGGTGTAGTGGGCGTGAGGAAGTGATGAGTTTAGGGGTTGCGTCAGCGCCGTGGTGGGTGGGGCATCGCCCTAGCATTGCCTGGGGGAGATGTTAGCGGTTACCTTGGTCCCTCCAGGTCATCCCCCCACCCCTCCCACCCTCCTCATGACTTCACTTGCTCTTTCTCGGGGACTTCTGCTACGCATCTCCTCCCTCTGCAGTTACTTGGCCCTCCCCCCACCACATCCTTCCCTCCACACTGGGCCACTTCTCTCCACCCCAACTCGTTCACTTCCACCCTCTCTCCCCCCCCCCCCTCCCCATTCAGTTGCCAGTTGCTCTGCCTTTCCAGTTGATCTACCACAGGTGCCACCTTGCCCCACGACCTTCAGAAACTCCCCCTCCCCCACTCCTCTCCTCAGTGTCTTCAGCTTCTCATCCTCTTCCTGTCTCGTTGCTCTGCCTTCCCCCCTCACCACCCACTCTCTCCTCCTCGCCTGCAGCTTCTATGCTGACCCTCCCTCCCCCTCCACCCCGTGAACCAGGAAGCCTCGTGCAGTATGAAGTCAGTACGCGTCGCCACCCTTTGCCACCTTACTCATTCTCACTATACTGTATACATATTTATGTGTATCGTATACATGTACCGCGGTACATGGCTGAGATGTGATGC